TGCCGTGATTTCAGTTTTGGAGTCCCCAAATAAAGTGGCAGCCCTGTCAATGTATTTGCTCCCTATCTTTGCATGGAGAGTTTGTCTTGATGTAGAGGTGGGCTCTCAGGATAGCGTGGGATACCCCCTCCATTACGCCCTCAACTTGAGAGCTTTTTTTGAGCTTGGGCGTTTCTTTCCGAGAAAACCAGTGGCACCATCGTGTTTCTCGCGAACTTTTACAAAAGAATCAATAGTCAAATCGCAAATTCCTCACACATGCAACATCTCCATTAATGCATATTTTCCACTAAAATTTTCAGATATTTTATATTAAACTGTGTACAAAATTTTCTGAAAATTCCGAAAAAAACAATATTCAAAATTTTTTCAGAAAATTCGGTTTTTATCACAGGAAATTTGGCAACGTCTGAGGGCTCATACGGCGTTCTTCCTTCGCACGGCAGAATGAGTATTTTTTCTCCTCATGGTGCTTCGACCCAATGTTTTACACGAGCGTGTGAAAAGAAAATGAAAATATTAGTCAAGAGAGTGTGTCATCGAACTCGGAGCCTCCTTGAGCGCCTCAATGAGAAGGGGTGAGGGGGCCCAAGGGCCAGGGGCTGAGGGCGGATGACGGGGAAAAGAGGATGCGCTGCTCGCAATCTTACTAAATCCACTTAAAAACATGATTAAGATTACCCTTCAACTCCAGTCAACCGTGCAGCATCCGCGTGACCTCATCTCCTCCCTCCCACACCTCTCCTTCGGCGTTTTGCATGATAGAAATTGGGGATCATCTCTCAAAAACGTCTCCTTTTTTTCTCTTTTAAAATGAAGCTATACCCAGACACATAAATTACTAACGGATAACATTGGACCATACTCGTCAAAATCTATTTTTTCTTCGGATAACTAGTCAACGTAAAATGTTTCTCCGTGATTTTTCATCTCTGTCAGAAGAGTAGCTGGCATACAAATTAAGTTGTAACGCTCGACTGCTTCCCATCGAAATAATAAAATAGGAGCGGAAATTTTGAAACACAATGTCGATACGTGAAACTGTACTCTGACCATCGATATGATTTACGAACATCCGTAAAGCTGGAATAGGCATCAAGGCGATATCTTGTCACCAACGCGTCCGTTAATAAAGCGCTGCAGTCAGTGCGCTGAAATTCAAAACGCCTTCAATTTTTTGAACGCAATATGGACATCCGTCGAGGTTGTATAGTTGTCTCAAGGCGCCGTGGTCGGCGCGTCCTAGTCTTCTTGTAACGGACGAATAAAATCGGTGCGAAAAGAGCCGAAATGCCCTCAGTTTTCTACGTTCCGATGACCGAATTGGAGAGACCACGTATCTCCGTTTGCGACGTTGCAGATTACTATCATTTCGCAATGGACCAGTAGACAAGATACGAATTTACGCAATCTGGTACATATTCCTAACCAGAATTTTACGTAACACACGAATCTTACAACAAAAATTACTGAAACCAACTTTTAACGAAGATATTAACGTTTTTTTTACACATTGGTTACGAGGAATTTGAACTGCCCGCTCAGAAGAGACTCAAAGCTCTACGTGAGTCAAATCGTGCACTACCACGGTTTCAGCAAGCTTCTCAATCGAGCAATGTTCATTTCCTACCTTGTGTTGTTCAAACTATAAACAACTTGCTATAGCTGAGCCAAAGTGTCAAGATCGAGGTTGCCAGATTTTTATATCGCAGAGACTGTCATGATAACGTTTAGCGCTCGATGTGAATCACGTGGAGCATTGAGTTTTCATGAGCGGATGGTTTACATTCACGCATTAAGAATCATTAAATATCTTCGTAAGGTATTGATCACGGTGATTTTCGTCGAGCGCGTCATGTTTCATTTGAAATTTTGGTCAAGAAACATGTATCAGAATGCTGAAATTCGTACCTTGTCTAGTAGTCCATTTGGGGGCCGACCATGAACGATGTAACGCTGTGGGGAGGATGAGAGAGGCGGAGGATAGAGTTACGCCATTTTGTTTTTACTTGTAACAGGATAGGGACCAACGTCACAAAAGCGTCACAGGGGGGGAGGGGGGAGTAAAAATGTCGGAAAAGTGCGTTACGTAATTTATGGACGGCCCCTTTAAAGCACAATTTCCGGCGAAAACACCTGTATGCTATGAGGAAACTGCGACGCCTTATACGTTGTTTTCGAAATGAACCAGAAATAGTGGTTCCTTTCAAAATGTAGTCCAATTGTCTTCGCTACAGGGGAAATGGCGACCAAATTATACGATTCCATCAGGGAAAATGAATTCCCCCAATCACAGTGAAATTTCTATTTGATAGTAAGCAATCTTTCTTGATGCGACGAGGACTGTTCTTTATTTTGTCGAGAAATTGAGTTTTTTGCGTTGAAAAATTTGATTTTTCTCGCTCTGGCCACATAATTTGGCATCAAAAATTGTAAGAGTAATTCAAATCCAAATAGATACGCCCCTCCGTTAGAAAAGCGACGAAATGATGGGAAAAATGCAGGTTTACCTACATTATTTTTAATTATATTACTTAAGTTGGACCGCAAAACAGTCTGGACTGGACATACTTTTCTCATCTTGATGATAGGACAAAATTGCTTAATAAGGAGCTCTTGTATCTGGTTCATTCATAGTAGGACATATCTAGTCAGCGGAAATAATGGCACATACAGTGCGGAATGTAGTTAAATTTTGGTATAACACTGAGCATGCGTATACAGATGAAATACTGCCGTGCTGAGGAAGAGTGCCGTATGAACATTCGAGAGTTGCGAAATTTCCCCGGATGAAATGTTTATTTTTGAGTAAAATTATGAATATGTTTCCTTAAAATTTTCAGAAACTGCAGATCAAATTGCAAACAAACTTATCTGAAAAATTGGCTAAGAAATCTTCAAAATCTTTCCTGAAAATTAGCGATTTGCCAGAGGAAATTTGGAAACGCCTGAAGTTACATACGCCGTTTTTCCTTAGCACCCCTGGTAAAAATTGGCGATAAGAGCTGCGTTTCAAAATACCATAGGAATTCGTATAGCCGGCTAAAGAAGGCTACAGAGAATCATATAGCTGGGCTGTAGAATGCGGAGAAAATCATACGGCCGGGCTATACGAAGCGATAAAAAATAATGCAGCCGGGCTATACGAAGCGATAAAAAATTTTGCAGCCAGGCTATACATAGTTTCTATCGCCGGGCTTTACACTTTATCGCCTGGCTGTTGCTTTTTCGCCATCGATTATTATAAAGGGCTATAAGAAATTGTGTAGAAATTTGTGTGCCTTGGAAATCATCAAGTTTGATACGGAGCCACCTTAATATTTACAAAACACACATTATATTTTCCTTTAATACATATTTTTTTTCATCAATCAAAATGAGAATAATCCATACAGGATGTGCAAACATTTCAAAATCATGAGTTGAATAACGCTGACTCCGCCAGATTAAATATTAGAGTCTAATACAAAGCGGAGCGGCGACGCACTGGCGCCTACAAACCTAACAGGGATACTTCACGCATTGCGCAACGCGTGAGGTATCCCTGTTAGGTTTGTAGGCGCCAATGCGTGTTTCGCGCTGGCTGCCCGCCTGCCACGGCGCTTAAAGCAACCAAACTTAGCTTAGACTTATGAAATATTCAATATGTAAAGGTAAATAAATGAGAATACGTGAGATTAATGCTAGTTTTTATAATAAAAATGCCCACGATATTTTTACATATGTGGCTCCCCAAAGTTCATGTAGAATCACCAGTTCAGGGATCAATAATTCTAGCGTCAATTTTACTAAAATTGGGATCATACGGATTAATTCGGACAACAACTATCAATACATACATAAAGGCGCTTTTATAGCGCCGCCTCGCGCTCTGCGACGCCCAATCGCCATTGCCCCCTAACCTCCCAGAGATCATCAGGCAACTATCAATTCAGAATTTAATAAAAACTTAGAATGAGTTATTATTATCTTACAGCAACTATTTCACACCAGAGGTATTGCACAGTATCATACGAAACTGAAGGCGTTCTAATCTTTTATTAATGGCAGGCATCCATCAAAAGTACGGAGCTTTCCTCGCAAAATAAATCAAGACACTACGGTCCAAAAACTCACTAAGTCCTAGCATCCGTAATTAGTGACGTTTAGCATACACTTTATCACCTTGCTGTTGCTTAGTAGCCATCGGCTATAAAAGGCTATAAGAAATTGTGTAGCCGGCTATAGAAGCTATTGGAAATCTTACACCTGGCTGTAGGTCTATGGTATTTTTGAACACAGATTCTACTGCCAATTTTTACCAGGGACGCCAGAAAAGGCAATATGATACTGCAATGTAAAATATCAAGAGATGAGATGTAGACGGTTTTCTAACAAAAAGTAGGCATTCTGGTCTGAGATACATATTTGGCTTGCATTTTTTAGTGTTTGACTTATCCATTGAGGCATTTATCTGCATATAAAAAGTAAAGGTACATACATTTTCCCTAGAATCAGGGAGAAGTAATGTAGTAATGCAGTCCATCTGACGATCGAGCACGAATTTCCCTCAAAATGGAATGATATGCAACCCCATGACACTAGTGTTGAAATAGTTATCGTCCACTATTCAAGGGACCTTTTTATAGGACTCGTTAAGTAGCTTTTGTAAATTGGTCGTGGTTGGGTTCGTTCTTTAAAAGTTCAAAAGACATTTGGCACAGCTCACATGACTTCCTTATTTAATTTTTTTTATCCTTTTCATTTTGCAAGATGAATGCGAGTGACTTATTTCATGTTTTTGTGGACGTACCTTAAAAGAAAGTAGAAGGAAAACAGGAGACAGGGGCCACTGTTTGGTCGATATCGCTCCAGTTATAATGCTCAGTGAATCTATATTTTTTATTCTTAGAAAAATTGTTGTGTTTCCTTAAATTACTCAAATAGAATCTTGCTTTAACGAATGGCGGTACGTTGTTTGAAGATTACTCACAAGCTGACGAGAAAATTATCAAAAGGTACGTTTTTATAATTATTGCAATATATTTGATTAGTTTTAACACAAAATAACACATGATTTACACTTAATTCGCAGTTATTATAATTTTAAATTAATTACATTAAAACTGAAAATAACAGGCTGAATTGGATTCAGTTAACTCAACCATTAAAAACTAGCGTTGTACAGAATCAAAGTTAATTCGCTAAAATAAAATAACAATCGAACTATACGACTACAGGAAAAGGAAATGCAAGTGAAGAATCCCTATTAGAATAAAACCATAGAAAAATGTTACGTCATATCTTACAATAGAGTCACAGCGCTCATTTTTAATACGATATGATAATCCAATTATAAACAAGTCGCCAAAATTAGTTATTGAAGTTTCATTTTTATCCGTTCTTTACTTCTTGATGTATGAAAGGTTTATTATTTTTCCCATGTCTCTGATCAAAAACTTGCAAATCAAAATACTTCAATTATCGTTCCTTGCCTTCAAGAATAGCAGTAGTTGGGAGAAGTAGAATACATATTTTTACCTTGAAGTATTTTCAGAACAAGAAAGTTTTTAAATTTTTTGAAATTATCTTTACGATCTCAAAAACTTAAAATTATGGGATTCGTTATCGAAAATGTGTTGCATCACGGAGATTTAATTTGAGATAATGAAACGTTGTCTGATACTAAGATCATTTTAAATCTTGAAGCGCTACCAAATAAAGACTAAAAATTAACGCTTCACAAAATCATAACATTGAAAAATATGTCCTCTGATGTCAATCTCAGGAAAATGTATTTCAATGGCTAAAGTAAAAAAATGCGTTCCTTCATCGCAAAGTTTAAAAATCTTTGATTATGTTTTTTTCCTAGAAGAAAACTGACAGAATTTTTTCGGTGAAAATGTTTGTAAACGCCTTTGGACGAGTGAAGAAAATTCACAAAAAACCTGTTTGTTGGTTTTCTTATTAAAAATAAAATAAAATATTAGTGGTAAAATAGCAGCCTTGCAATAAATTGGAGATACACATATTTTTTACCTTAGCCGTCGATTCACTCCTAAAATATTTGTTTCTTTGTGAAATTCTGTCCTTCGTATTTTTTGGTCTCTGAAAAAGAGTTTTACTTGATACTGCCTACTCGTAGCAATCCGAAAATTTATATGAAGTCCCCCCACCCTTTTTTAAAAAAATACTTATGAATTATCCATAGATTTCAAGTCTTACTAATACATCTTCTGCAGTATTTTTATTTTTAGTAGTTTATGCTTAGGTTTGTTGTGACACCTCTCATTATTTGTCATCGCCATCTTCAACGAATTGGCATATTTAAAGGTAATCAAGTACGTATTATAAAAAATTAACTTTAATTAAAGTCGAAAACAAAAGTATAAATGAACAATCAATTTTGAGCTCAGTCCTCGACTACAAGGATTACTTGGAAAAGCGAGCGTCCGATTAAGCTTTGATGAGTGAATTACCCTGAGAGTTCATGAAAATTATGCTTCACGGGCAATAATTTCCCTATAAGTTGCAACATTCAACACAGATTTGTGCCACAGATTACACTAAACATTTATATTTATATATAAACTACTTATTCAAACTAATGAGTAGATGAGACAGTTAAGCATGAAAGAGAGGGATGTCGATCAGATCACAGTTTCAGGACCTGAGAATATTTAAGCATTAATCCAAAGTGAGGACGACCTATGCTGCGGCAGTGCTCACAAAACCCACGCATGTCCATCATGCACACGGGTATGCAGCCGTGCTAAGGGAGAATGCCGTATGAACTCTCAGGCGTTGTCATATTTCCTTCAATATAAAACGGATTCATTGGAAAAATTTTGAATATTTTTCTTCAAATTTTTCAGACAATTTTGTACGCAATTTAATCTAAAATATCTGAAAATTTCAAAGAAAAATATGCATAACTTTCCTCCAAAATACATGTTTTATTCGAGGAAATTTGGCAACTCTCGAATGTTCACGCGGCTTTCCTCAGAACGGTAGTATGTGTGCCCTTCGTCTTGCGCATGTAGCAAAGAATGGAATGGTGCCGGTTTGAAACATGCGTTCCGTTGAGGCTGCAGATTTTATAAGGAACGAGAATATTATTGAATGAGGTAATGCCTCTCTTTTCTGTAATGAGGTAGTGCGTTGTATTTTGTACTGATTTTACAGCCACTTGAAAAAAAAAAATAAACGATACAATATTCATAATGACACTTATTGTAGAGGAATAGGAAAATTGAGATAGGAGGAAGAAAAGAAAACCTGAGTTCAACAATACCTTCACATACGAACAATATAGGCTAAACAAAAGACATTCTCTAAAAACTGATTATGAATTAATCTTCAACGATCATTGACTATAGGTACATGTAATTAAATCTTGAAAATAATTAATCTTGTCTAAATTGGAGGATTGATATCAGGTAAGATATCATTTATTCAACTGGAGAAATTCTGGAGTTGGAGTTTTCAGTATAGCATGAGATTTCCGGCAGGAATACAACTAAATCAACTATAGTGCCGGAACATCCAATGCCTCCTGGAAACTTTCCTAAAAAAACTTTATTTACATGCTGCTTACTGATTACGATGACATAGATGTATTTGATATTTTGATGGTGTATATGTTACGTTAATGTGTACTATGGTTTTTTCTCTTTTAGACCTACAAAGTATCCAATAGTATAACTTGATCTCCACAAGTTGAGGATATTTTGAGGCTACAAATTAGACCCTCCCCAGGCCAAGTAGAGTACACTCTCCACATGAGGTTGACTCAGCCAATGTGAGGAAACCATAGGATGATGCAAAACAGCTAAGGACATCATCTAACATGAAAGCAACATTTAGGACTATCCCGGATGAAAGTGGAGAGGTTAAGTCCTTAGAAGAAAAAGATACTCAGAGATTACAGGTTACCGCCTGCGTTAATGTTTGTCTTATGTGTTTAACTAATTAGTTATTAGCAGGAGAATATGCAAATTCAAACAGCTCCGTCTGTCTAACTCCTAAGTTTTGAACATAGAGACAGACTTGGAAAAGGCTGGCTGAGAATGAATGCAGCAATTGGTGCAAAGATGAAAAGAACATTTTTCTTAGAATGTAAGTATTTGGCTTACGTAAAAATTGAAACGTCTAATACAAGTACATAACATTATATCATGCCATATATTTATATATGTCATGAGATCCGTACGCAGGTATCAAAATAATATTTTTTCGTATTCTGTAAATGCTGATTAGATATACTGTGAGTGCACACGAGGCAATTGAAAGCTTTCTCTGAAATTCCAAACAAACTCATAGGTTCAAACAAGAAGAGAGAAGCTATTCTTCTCTTCAACACAAACTTACGAAATAATGCAGAATTTAAATCAGTAAAAGGATACAAAAAATTAATTTATCACCTTTGCTTTCTACTTATGAATATATTCTGGATTAGGTCCAGGGTGAATATCATTGAAAGTTTCTTTGTAGACTGACAGATAAATTCATTAACCGTATTTCCTTTTGTCCCAATGATTTTTCATAGGTTCAAAGATGACGTTTCGGTTTATTTCCTTTCTTTTCCTCGGAGGAAAGAAACACATTTTGAGAGATGTTAAATTCAATGAAAGTACGGAAAAGCGCTTAGTTTTCCCCAGCCCTTGATTAGCCTCATTTTAAACGCAGTGACTAACTGCCTTAATGCGAATAACTTACTTAAGAATGATTAATTTATTTGTACACGCTGAATATGTTTGTACCTGTGTCAGAATTGCTTACAGGAGAAATTGACTATTAATGCATAAGACAAATGAAAAATCAACAAAGCAACAAGATTAGACTATACTTGAGTCGTGAGTTTAATGATCGAACTCATTTCGATTGTTTTTTATTTTTTTTTTTTTAAAAAAATTATGTTTGAGCTTTTTCCGAACAGCATAACCGATTTTTTTTTTCAACAAAGCAGAAATAATCTATTCAAGCTCTTTGAAAGTCATATTTTTGATGACTTCATAGTTTATCAGACTGGTGAAGAATTTCGACAGTGAAAGTGCGCAACCACGCATCTCGGTCTGCGATTTACTTTATATTTTTAATGGAAATTCACTCACAGCAATTCGTATAAACTGCAATGAATTTTCTTCTCTGTGTGGAGAAGATTCTGTGAGAAGTTCAAGGAATGATGTTGACTTGTTCTCATTTTAAAAAAAATGAAGTAAGAGCGGAGATTTTGAAACACCGCAAAATTGATACGTGATTGCGGACTAACGCCGTCGATTTCAAAATAAACAGTAAGGTATTGTTCTTTTGTCTATGACCGACACTTTTTCTGGAGCTAATTTTCCACTGGCTCTTCTTATTTTTATTCGTATACAGGTGTTAGGATTCATGTATTGCTCGCTGTTGTAAAAATTCCCTTTAAGTGGTAACAATAACAGATATTGTTAAATTTACAGACATGGAAGTGGAAATGCACCCGTAGTACGTGGTAATAATACATTTAACTGAGTCATCGTAAAATTTTAGTTTCACAGGAACCTATCTTAAAATAATTTTGCAATGTCCTGAGACGTTACTTTCTTTCTGCCACCGATCAAACAATACGTTACACCCAACTTTTGCACCTCCTTTCAAGTGCGTGGAACGTACTGAGCAGACCGTATGTTATCCCATAAAAACAACCGTTACAACCCTAAAATATTTTTATTGTGTGCGGAATGAGCTAGAAGCCAAATCTTAAATTAAAACATCATCTCAACCGCTAACGACAATCCTCATAATTGTAAAAAATCAAGAAAAGCAGACGCAAAATGATTAAACGTTTTGCCAGTAGTTGATGACACACCCTTACAGACAGGGTTTGAGTTATGCACCGCAAGACAAGTCTTTTAATCAAAAGATGGACTTCGGTTTCTTGGTGGGCGGGAAGTTTGAATTTACGATCATAAGAAATGCTCATTTCTCATGTATGGGTCGAAATCAAATATTTAATGTTTTATACCCTGCTCAATGAAAGATTTTGATGATGGCACATGTTTCACGATGCTTGATCTCTAACCGATTCCAATGGCTTATTGAAATTTGTTGCTTTTGATATAGAAACGATGGAATCCAATTAAGTTTTTTATCAGCTAATAAATATTAGCAGGTGACTGGTAGTCGATTCTTGGGACAAGGAGATTAGGATGGTGTTTTAATCCATCATTTGCGCTCTAACTCATTTCTGCCACATTCACATGCATGTTATTAACACTTTTGCGTAATGATAGTGCCGCTTTATGTCGAAAAAATAATGGATTCATAATAACAGGCATTTTTACGGTAAACCTCATATCTTTAAGAATGGCGCGCCTGATAAAACGAAATTGAGGGAGAAATTTGCCTAAAGTAGGTACTACAAGTGATTCACGCTGTAAAAAAATATACCTATCATGTAAGTACTTATTTTGCGAAAATATTTTGTACTTTTAACATATTTGGTAAAGTAATAATTGGGCTACTATCTATAAATGCTCTTAGCGCTAATAATAATTTGTTTTGATTTTAACAACAAAGAATAACATTAATAAAACACTATCAATAAACTTCTTAAACATTTCATGTAAAGTTTACTAGATTTCCACCCACTCACAAATGGAATTCTTTAAACACCATAAAAGCTGACTAATTATATACCTAGGTAGGTAGAGCGTTTGGCTGGAACATATTGAGCTTTTGAATCTATCAATTTATTATGTTACAATAATACCTGTCTCTCACTTAGTTAATAGAGAATTTACAGTATTTCGTTGCATGAAATGACATTTTGTATTCATTCTGAAATAATCAGACCCTGAGAATGGAATTTTACTATACATATATATAGAATGCTTTCTGCAACTTACCTATAAATAGTGAGGTTCATTTTCGAAAATTAAGTGGCAAAACCCTACTGAGCTTAAGGAGTGATTTGGTTGTGAAGATCGCGTAAGAGCTTACTTTGTAACTTAAATTAAGATTCCCTGAGGTTAGTAAGTAGGTAGGAATATGGCAACGATTGACTTTTGTAAGAGGTGGTGCAATAGCCAGACTTTTTCCAAAGGCTGCTGCTTTGGAAACCATCCTAACAAGCTGCTTTCCTTAGGATTCATTCCTAATGCTGAATACCGTTCCATCGTTTCATGTAAAGTAATGATCCGTTTTCTACACTCACTTTATGGTCGAAGATCTATTAAGATTTATTCCAAAGATTCAATAGTTAATGCTCCATATATGAGAATCATAATAAATTAACGATAATTTAATTATTTGTAGAGACGATCAAACTTCATAAAGCCAAGTCTAGAACTCAATGACTATAGTTTAAATTCTGTTCGAAAAATGTACTGAATTTACAGGAAGAAAAAGCAATTTAACTTTATACTTGAATCGAAGGATATTGAGTAAAAATTTGCATTGGTCCACATTACTTTACGTTTAATTTCGAGGGAAAACATTTTCTCCACGACTGAAGGAATTTTGGTAAGTTCAAAGATAATCCAAAAGAGACCAATTCAATGATCTTCTATAAGACTATATATAATCGAATATTGACCAATCTCCGGAGCCTTAAAATTCGACTTTTCAAAGTATTTAGAAGCTGTCGTAGGTAGAAACGCTGCAATTGACGTGTATAAATGATGAGTGGTGAAACAAGCTATATTGTTGGCAATATTGAGCTTTTTTGTTAGTACAGGATCACTAACTTATGAATGTCTGATTTTCCATCCAACGCTTCAAGAACGACAATATGTTTTTTGATGTCGGTATGGAATTCAACCCCTTACACAACAGGAGCATGCAGAGCTTTACAATACGAGGCATGCGTTGAGGAAGTCCTCTCAGACTTAAGTGTGCATACACTTAAATTGTGAACTTTATTTCTAAAACGGCTCGATGAAGTCTGTTTCCGCCACAAAAAAAGATGAGATTGAGTTCAATTAAAGTGAATTGCCGAGATTAAAGTTAGTTTGATTGCATGGCACAGACTACCCGTGTGGCGCAAATCGACTTGGAAATCAGTATCTTTCAAGATTAAAGTGAGTCGAACGTCACTTTAACGCCGCAGTAACGTCAATGTGATGAATATAAATATAGATATTCATGTCAGAACGCAATCAGCCTGACAAGTCTGACGTTACAGAGACTCTAAAGGATTATATTGAACTTTTTTCACTTGGGATCATGGGGGTGGTAATCTCGTAGTCAAGGGCTTAATCTAAATTAGAGTTAATGATTTTGCCGATATGCGCACACAAAGGGGAAAACGGTGAAATGACAAAATTTCCTGATTGTAATCTATCATAAACGGAATTTGCGGTAATTTTACGATCTTTCGGTAATTTCACTGTGGTTGTGTTCATTCGGTATACATCAAAACCCGAAATCGGAGCGGGGAGGTGTGTCAAATTATTGGAAAAGCAGACAGATTTTTCCGTTCTTCCGATAATTTTGTGAGCCTGCGTGGTAAAGTGACTGGCCTCTCCTTCATTTTGGAAAAACTTGCCTCAGCATCCAATTCTTAAGTTAATCGTGTTTGAAAACAAATCGGTAAACTTGCTGAGAACATACAGAGAATTACCGCAAGACAATAAAAATGTCGGAAATTTCCGGGGAGTCGCAACCAAGGATACCGGCGATACTTTGGTGTATCAAAGAGTGAATGCCCCCACGTCATAAAATAACGTTGGTTGTTAACCGACATTAAACCTTTTTAGACGGAAAGGAGAAAAGAGAAAAGAGAGTAAAACTCCCTCAAAGATCGCAGCTTTACCATATCGACGGTGAAACTGCAAAAATGCGTATCTCGGTTGCGAGGTTTCAAAGTTTCCGCTCTTATTTTATTTTTTACAAAGAGACTAAACACGAATCATGCTTTGAAATTTTCACAGAATATTCCTCACTTAGAGAGGAAAAATTACCAGATTTTTCAAGAGATGACGTTTACTAGTTTACGATGTAGAAAATAAATTATGACCGGAAGTTTGCAACGCCGCAAATCAAGATAGGTAGTTCCACCGTCGATGCATTCAGGAAAATTTCAGCTTTCCCTCAGTCTGAAAAGATTTAAAATCGGTTTAAAACTTACAAAACTACTCATTTTTATTTCTCCAAGGTAGTGCCTTATTTTTGAAAAATTTTCCGGGGTCTCTTTCCTGCCTGTGGAGCTTCGCATATAAAGTGCATGCACTCTTAATTTAACAACAAACACGTACTTTAAACTTTTCGATTTGCCGAAACTTTCGCGGTTTTTAAAAGTAAGTTTTTACAGAGGAGGGTCGGGGATGACCGACTCTCGAACGGGTAGGGTTTATTTTTTGTCGTCTTTGGGGCTTTTCGAGGGCGACGGTGAAGGGGCGCCGTTGGAGGGGGGGCCTGCGTCCCCGTTGGATTCGGGCGCGTCGTTGGAGCCGTTGACGGAGGACTTGCCCGCTTTCTCGTCGTGCTTGTCTTCCGGCTTGGACGGGCAGTCCGCGATGAGGTGGGCGTCTGACTTGCAGAAGTGACACCTCTTCGGCTGCGGGCCCAGGGAGCATTTCGCCGCCAGGTGGTTCGCGAACTCGCCGCAGTTGTAACACCTGCCACATAAATTAAAGTCATTTATCCATTCAGTTAAGACATAGAATAAAGAGACCTGCGGGGCGATTATTGAAACTGATAGACAAAGCGATAGACAAAGATGATATAGGGGGTACAAAGCAATTCTATTGGTTTAAATGGGTGGTTCTCATCGACTAAGGGGGAAAATGAGAGACTAACTGTCGGGTTTCTCGTGGGTTGCCGTTACTTAGTCGATTACCTACCTCCTTTGTCCATTGCAACAACCCGTTTCCACCAATAGGATCCCTCCAAATCCCTTTTGTCGTCTTTGTCTATCGCTTTATCTATCAGTTTCAATAATCGGTCCGCAGCGTCGTCAGAAGCGAAAGCCACCGCCATTTTTATGTCATCGAAGCTAGAGTCCCTTTATACTGAGAGTCAAGACAACATCCCCTAATGGAGTCACAAACGGGAATTAAGATTACAGAAATTGAACGTTTTTTGTAATATTTGATAGGCCCATTTTCAAATTCCTTTCTCCGTTCCCTCTCTCATTCCGTTTGTTCCTTGCCGAACCCGTAATTCCCTGGTCCATTCCAGATTATAATCTTTGCAATCGGTGAAAATGTAATCTTTATTCCCGTTTGTGACACTGTGAAGGCCTAAAATACGGGAACCAATCAGAAATGGATTCACAATGTCTGGACTCTCAGTATGAAGGGCCTCTAATCGAAGCGAAACTGAGTCAATAAGTACTGTTTACGTCTTCGGCATGTCGACCTTCTGGAGAGGCCGAATGATAACGGATACAGACGTTTTTCGGAAGTAAAAAAGATTTTTTTACACTTATTCACCGTTAATTTTGAGAAGTACCGTAAAGTTGCTTAAAATTTTGTTCCTTTCCAATTTTATAATTGTAGGTTAACATCACACCAGGTTTCAATAAGTACGAAGATTGACCGACCCTGGGAGGAAAAATGTTAACATTGGTTCTTGCGGAGCTTTCGCTTCTGTTGGCGTAGTCTACTTATTCTATGGTTAAGACTAGAGTGCCTATAAGAGGAGAGTGCTGACACCTCGGTAGTTTTGGAAGTTAGGTCATAATGCTGTCAGGGCCCTAAAGGGCAAATGAAAGAATTACCTATGAATTCAAATTTTCCAAAATGTTCCATGTTTACAAGTTTTATAGATCACACGTTTGACTTCGTTTTTGCATAAATTTACTCCGGAAGGACGCTCATTTATAAACATTCTTGGTTATTCAGCTTTGACATTAGAATCTGAAGATTGCCAACGGCATTTTTCCAGTGTTTTTAGTGGTGGATTGACTGCGCCCTTTCGGGCCTTAGGAGTTACAAGTCCGTGCTCTCCTCACCTAAGTGTTTTAGTTAGGACCAAAATATTATTATCGGCAATTTAATAGGAGATCATTAACGTTGTGTGAACGTAGACGGATCCAGACACTTTTAACGGGAGGGAGAGGGGGGTCGATAGAGGGCTCAGGGGTCTTCCCTTGAGACATTTTCGACATTTTAAAGCATCGAGTATGCACTTTGAGTGCATTTCGTCATGAATAATTACCAAACACAAACTTCCTTCTCTTCTTTACTCCGTTCCTTCCTTCTTCCTTTCTCTCTTCCCTTTTTCTTCTTCCTCCTATTCAGACGAACCGGGAGGGGGGGGGGGGGGTCCTGCGCCCACCACAACCCCTTCTTGAATCCGCCTATGTTTGTGAATTCTTTTCTCTGTAAGATTCTGAAACGGTGGTGTGGCGTGAACAATCGATTTATCGATAGGTCTCCATTTGAAGCTATAGTATAGAGTCGATTATTGAGGTGTTCTTTACGAACACCCTGTTTATTGATTTTTTCCCCCATAGGTTTCAATGGCAGAACAATCGATGAATCTCAAAGCACGCCAAGCCACTGATTCTGAAGAGGAAACATGTTGACGGTGAAACTCCCCGACAACGTACTAGTTTGCGAAGTTTTAAAATCTCCGATCCGGTTTTATTTTTTTGGAGGAGAACAATGTCATTCCTCGAAGTTTTTACAGGATTTTTTTCTGTACACAGAAGAAAAATAATGACAGTTTTTAAGAATTTTGCCGTTGAGAATTTTACCATTTGACAAACTAGGTACGGTAGGAAATCTGCAATGTCGCAAGGCGAGATGCGTGATTTGGGAGTTTCACCGAATTTTAAATGGACGTATTTCTATCAGACGGATCTATGTGCATTATGATGTGAGCCCTGTTAAACATGTATTCTTATGGGTCTCAGAGCTCATATCTTAATGCACATAATTCCGTTTGGCAGGAATACGTCTAAATAGGTTCGGAGTCAACTGCTCTCTATATTTCAGTTCAACATTTTTAATGGTGTAGCTATTCCGCCATAAATTTTTCAAATAGCCCAGAGCGCATCCTCTGTCATTTATACATAGTTATCTTTGCGAGGATTAATGTCTTGTGTTGTGTAAAACATTTTCCCATAACTCAATCATATCAAACTTCACCTAACAATTATGTCAATTTTTTTTTTTTTTTTTGATCTATTCTGTTCTCTATGATTAATAATACATTAAAATAACCATTTATTTTCAAATCTTCCCGGGAAAGCAATATGAGTAAATGCGAGCGTTCGTGTCCTTTTGAGATTTTTTTTCCTTTCGATTTCGAATCTTCTCAGAAATCTCTAGGGATGAAAAATAAACCTGCCAAAAGTAGTGAAAATCTATCACTACGCTACCCTCATTTTGATCGTGAAACTTCATTTGAATCTGCAATATGAATCTTACCTCAAGATTTAGCCCGCAGTTCTTTTCTTTTCCTTTTTCTCACTGCAATTTGAGCTGGTTAAAGCAAGTCCAAATAGGGTCCCATAGTACTAACTCTCTTCACAGTGCCGCAAAAATCTTCCACCCCAATTTTATTATTCACTTCACGATTATATAAAGAATACAAATTTGAAAGTATTCAATATTGAATTAAATAAAATGAGGCTCCAAAATTATCGAGGCCTAAGAATGAATCCTTTACTGATTGATACCTTTACTAATTGATCATGTACCTGAATTTCCGGAATCTTTTCTTGGAAACAGGTCTCCGGCTGGAACCAACGCAAGGTGATCCTTTGGGACCGGTTACTAAAGTTGCTTCGAGGCCCTTTCCAGTCGCTTTACACTCAAATTCTACTTCTTCTCCATCTCCTAGCGACCGGAATCCACTCATTTGGATAACACTCTGGAAAAACCATAGAAAATGTTATAAGATTCTGAGAAAAGTGCCAAAATAAAACTATTAGGATGATTGTTTCGCTTCAGAATTTTCTTAGATTCATCACATGGATAACAAATGAATTAAGTAACTTAACAAGGGAAGAACAAATCATCACCTTACGGCCAAAGTATTACAAGTGTCATATGATTTTTAAAAATTTCCGCCGTCATTTAATTTTTTTACAGAGGAATTGTTGGTTAAATTTGTTTGAAAATTTCACAGAATTTTATCGGCAGCAACCTTCGAATTAACCTTCTCACAGTCTCGATTAATACTAAAAGAGATTAAAATTAAAGGAGTACCCAAAGGAACTAAAGAAAGTGAAATCAGTGAAATTTTAAGACTGCTTCGTTGAACCATTTCCCTGTAGAAAAATAAAATGGCGGCGGGAGTTTTTAAAGTCACATGGCGCTTGTGACACTTTGACCCGGAGGTAACGAAATATGTCCGTTTAAGAGACTTGAAAGACTCATTCCACGAAAGAACATTCAATAAAGCAAAAAAAAAAAAAAAATTGTACAATTGGGTTGGAATTTTGGAATTAAACTTTTCGAAGGTAAACATTGTGATGCATGCCTACGTCCCCATGAATAATTTGCAAGGGATCGAGTTCATTTTTGCGACAAAGTATGTAAAGTAGCAATTCCATCCGGCATAGTGCTTGGCCTCAAACATTGAAAGAATTATGCTATTGGATAATTTTCTTTATTTGCTCAATTTTTTTTCCATCAAAATTCTATCCGTTTTGACTCATGTTTGATTTTAAATGTGTTAGCACCTCGTGTGCTTAAAGGTTCATAAAACGCCCCTTCGTCAAAAAGCTCTAACAGCTAACTTTAAAAATTCGGAAAGATCTATACCGGCCGCATTATTCTCGGTTTCAGAAACCTTTCTCCGTTGATGCAATCGAGCTTTTTCTATCGTTCGGTTTAGCTTGAAACATCGGTTGCATCAACCAAGGATACGGATTATAGAACCGGAATAACAGTTACATGGACCGAATATTAACGGCCGATGTAGAACACCGTACTTACGGCTCAAACGACCGAACCTTTTTTTCTGCGCGGAAATGTTGAAGAATTAAAATAATCGTTTTTTTATTGAGGTACATTTCTTAAATATATTGAATGTGTTGGAGGATATCACAAAACGGGCACAGTTTTGCGCCGATTCAATTTTTTATCGGTAAGTGGAGTGTAGCCAAGTGCTAGAAATAATGTGACATTTTTTGCAAAAAAAACTTACATTTTATTGATACATATAAAATTTGACCGAAGCTTTTCGAAACAAAAGCTTCATCGTCAGGGTCACAATTACCGTCTGAAATTAAGTTATGGCCTTTGTGATTTATACTTTGTGATCCTGACGATAAAGCGCTTGCTTCAAAAAGCTTCGGTCAAATTTTATATGTATCAATAAAATGTAAATTTTTTCAAAAAATGTTACGTTATTTTTAGCACTTGGCTACACTCCACTTACCGATATATACGGTGCAACTACCTTTTAGAAATTGTTTTATACAACGTTCGCAGATCTTAATCAATTTTTTCGGTAAAAACCACAGAAATAATTGAAATTGGCAAAATATTGAACCCGCAGATGGTCAAGCACACGAATATGTGTAACATAATTAGAGCGTATCGTGCATGGAACGTGCGAGCCATAAGCGGAACCAATTTCTGAGTTTGCTATCATTTTCCTCGCTTTTTTACGATTGTGCGATCGCACCAAGTAATTTTTACAAATTTTCCTGTTTATTTTTCCAGGTGAATACTCTCTGCGCTGGAAATGCGAAGGCCTAAACTGCCGTGCTACAGAGAAGCGTCGTATGTGTATCCAGATGTAGCAACATTTTCCCGTATGAAATATTCATTTTCCAGTAAATTTAAGAATACTTTTCCTTGCAATTTTTGGATACTGTGGATTAGATTGCGAATGAAATTCTCTGAGAACTTGGGAGAAAAGTATACACGTGCTTTCCTAAAAAATTGTAATTTATCAAAGGAAATTTTATAACGCCAGAGGGCTTATACGGTGTTTTACCCTAGCAGCCATAAATACCGAAGCTAGTTGCTGAAGTGCAAACCGTGTAGGAGGAGCATGTACACATCTAAACTCGGAAACTATGTATCTTGATTGCTTTGCTCCCAAATGTTCAATCTTTTTCAAATTTTAAGGAGAAATGAGTAAATGTGGTGACGAGAGATGTTGTAATGTGATGAGAGCCAGGCTGGAAAGAAGGAGTGTGCTCTTTAGTTGAGGGCCGTAAGAATTAACGAGAATTATAAAGCGCCCGTGACGTCAGCGTGGACGACCAGGACGAAAATCTTGACTTTCAAAGTCTTTAATTTATGAGCCCTGCTCACAACGCTCTATTGCCATGCCAGCGGCTCATGAGTGACGCATACAGTTGGCGCTTAGTTTCGTTTGGTAAAATGTAAAATCCCGCTTTTCTACTTCCGCAAAGGGAATAACGCCCACATTTACATCGTTTCTTATCCACACGTAGAAAAAAATCTCTCGCGTGGGACCCTAAGTTTAGGTCATATGGATTTCTGAAGCTTCCGGATCTGAACACTTTAGGTCTAGCTGCCGAGGTTCATCTGAAACTTCAGTTCCGAAACCGAAGTTTTTCGTATGTGAAAACCGAAGCACTTCAGTGATGTAAGAACTGAAGTTTCAGATGTGTGATCCAAACCACAGCAACTGAACCTAAAGTGTTCAGATGCTCAATCCGAAAACTTCAGAGATCCATATGACCTAAACTTTGGGTCTCACGCACTAAGTTTTTTTCTCCGTGCAGCTTTAAAGGGCCAGAGGATCTATGCTTTAGAGAGCACACCCCATCTTTCCCACCCGCACATAGTTCTGTTTGGTAGAAATACGTCCAATTCGAGGAATACAGGCCATATATTTTGCTGTGTAGTTTTGCAGACTACGCTTACAGCCATTCAGTTGGAAGTATTTTCCTAATAACTATGAAGAAAGTGAGCTCTCTTACTTGGTGAACGAAGACGTCGCTGCTGCCGTCATCGGGGGAGATGAAGCCCCATCCTTTGGCGACGTTGAACCACTTGCAAGTGCCCCGGCGGCGCGGGCCCCCTCCGCCCCCTCCCCCGCCTCCATCGCCCCGCTCACCCCCCTCAGCCTCCTCGCCACGACTGCTCCCAGTCCCGCTTCCGTTCCCGCTTCCAGGTGAGTCTGAAACAACCACAAAAAACAAAATCAGAAACTGCGAATTTTTCATCCGGGCGATCAGTTGGAGACAAATGAATGAAAGAACCCTTACTAGCAGGGTCGGATTAAGGGGGTGGTCATATGGGCCGCGGCCCTTGGCGGCAAAATGTAGGGGGCGGCAAATTTTGCAATATTTTTGAATGTAGGTAGCAAGCTGATAATAAACTCAATTTAAATTTCACTAGAATAAAGAGTTAACAAAACAGAAAATACAAAAGCTTGGATAAAGCAGACAAAAATTCAAAAAGAAATAAAATTAGTTGAATCAAACATATATGCTTTTTTGAAAAATATATTTTTCAAAAAAGAGAGAAAAAAATTGGATTCAGAAAATAAATTACAAACGAGAAAAGACGACAAAATCTCTCATTTCCTCAGAGTAAAAGTATAGTAATTTCTAATTTTGTCGTCTCTCGGTGATACAAGAGACAACACCTTCAATAATTAGTCGAGTTAACCCATTCCCTTAATATGACGAGCTTGACTCGTCATGGCCGCGCCGGGACAAACGTGAAATGACGAGTCCCACTCGTCATGCAACTTGGCTACGCGTATTGCCGTGTTTTGATGTTTTCACGATAGATAGCGCCACGTAAATCGACAGATGTTGTAACTAGAAGTAGTGTGACCAACCTGTATTGGTTTTGTACGGTAATTTCCCCGAATATAGGGAATTTTGTTAGTTTGAAAATGTGGAAAACTGGAATAACCTCGAAATTTGCTCTCTGTTTATTTTCTTGTTATCAATGAATCACAACAACGAGATGTAAGCTTATTTTCGCTCTTTTTTCTTATTTTGGTGCTAATTGGTGCTTAGATCTTATTTGAGCATATGTTTTAAGAGTTTTGGAGGTTTTGTGGCTCATTGCATGTACTTTTTCTTACAATAAATAAGATTTTTCTCCTAAATTTAACATTTTTTTTTTTTTTCTCAGGAAATTCCCCTAACATAAGCTGACTTACTGCAGAAAAAGTGCAACATCCAGGCAAATTTATTCATATAAACATCCTTCTAGTTATAACTAATAAGAATTAGGCCAAAAACTCGCTCCTAATAATCAGGAAAAGCAGAAAACTAAGAAGAAACCAAATACAGCTTTATACAGCAAAATTAAATAGTAGCTCTGTGCGCGGGCATGCAAAATTAATTGTTAAGGGAATGGGTTAAGGGAGAAACCAAACTCGCAATTTGACCTGGAACGGAGCGGCGCGGCGCGGCGGCGGTCAGCATGAAACGCATAGCGCCTACAAGACTGCATGAATACTTCACGCATTGCGTTAAACACGCTGCAGTCAGCAGCAGTCGGCTGGAAACGCATGGCGCCTGCAAGACTGCATGAATACTTCACGCATTGCGCCAGACAGTGTGGTCAGCAGCGGTCGGCGTGAAACGCATAGCGCATACATGACTGCATACTACTTCACGCATTGCGCCAACACAGTGCGGTTGGCGCAGCGGTGGTACTTAAAATTTTTAACCACATTTATGTTTGTTCTTTCATAATTTTTCCGTTCGTTTTTTATAAATGGAAGGCCTTGTCCAAACAGGTATGGGTTTACGGAACTGAAATTTTGTTAGTGTTGACAGGGCTTTCACAAAAAATGTACCCAACACGAGTAAATGCGTCTCACACTACTTCTTTGAAAATAAATTAATCAAACATTTTAAAAGTTAAAACCCCCATAGCACATTGAGCTTTTGAAAATTTATATTTAAATGTTTTTACCTAAATTTCAGTTCTCGTTTTACCTATAAAGAGTTCCCTAAAACAGTAATTCTGACAGGTTTTTTTTATTTTTTATTTTTTTTAAAATTTCTGTCTTTACTTTGTCGAGTTTCTAACTAAAATTGAATCAAAGGTATAATAGAGTGTGCACTATTTGAGTTTTTGGAGTTGCCCATTTTTCCAGTCCCTTACCCGGAGTGTCAGGGGAACGTGACCAATGGCATGGCGTGAATCGATTATCGATATTTCCCTATTTGAATCCGTGGTAAAGAATCGATTATTAAAGTATTCACTGCGAACACCCTGTTAATCGATTCTTTTCCATGGGTTCAAATGGCAGCTCAATCGATGTATCGCAAAGCACGCCACGCCACTGAATATGACCTCCTAAAATTTCCTCCCCGTTATACGAAAAAGGAAGAAACAAATGCGACAGCACAAACCGGAAGCTGGTAACTCGAGTATAAAGAAAGTTATGATGAAAGTTGTGCGTTTCTTCAGCCCATCCGATACATTTTGGTCTTCAAAACTCAATTCTTGAGACGCTTCACCGACTCATTTACTTTTTCATTCGGAAACCGCACAATGGATCGAGTCAATAGGAGAGGTTGGACAAAATTTGGAAACTTCAAACGTGTATAACTCCGTTTATACACAATTTTGAGGTTCTAAAAGTGGCTCCATTGGTTTTCTAAGGGAATTTTCTTCAAGGAGCACCCCTTAAAGTTTAAACTGTGCCGAAATAAACATAAAAATTCGCAGTTTTTGTCTAGGATTTAATCTCCGACTTCTCCAATTGACTCAATCCACTGTGTGCCGGTTTCAAAATATTACGGCAATCAGGTTGTTCATGTTAAGGTACCCTCAAACCGAATAGGAGCAGTCACGTGGCGTATGTTGCCTTGCGGGGTCAACTTGACTCTCTTTCTCACATCAGATGCATGCTGAAAATCGGGACGTTTCGACCTGAACGGCAACCCGAATCGATTAGTTTGGGTCGAAAACATTGACGTGGCCTGCTTTGCGATATATCGATTGATCTGTCATTTAACCTATGGAGAAGGATCGATAAACAGGGTATTCGCGCAACGAACCCCTTAATAATCGATTCTTTACCCTAGCTTCAAATTGGAAAATATCGATCATTCACTCCTCGTGAGTGAAGATTACGCCAAGAGTTAAACGAAACGGAACGGATCGTTTCGTAGTTTATAGATGTATAAGCTACGGATATATAGTCTGGATATATAGTATATATATAGGATATATAGTCTTTTGGACTATATCGTCTTTTGGATGTATAGTCTGTAGGAAAGGAGCGTACCTTCGATTCACTTACTTTACCCTACTGACAGATCAAGATTCAACACTTCCCGCTTTGTCCAAATTTTGCCCCCCCCCCTTTCTAGGCGCCCTGATCTTTTACTTCTACATAAGAAAAAACTTGGATACTCTTTCCAAAATCTGATTACAGCGGGCTCATCTAGGGACTATCACCTATCGATAACAGCAAAAATTATGGCAATCGGTCCAGTAGAACGCTCAAACGAACTGTGACAAGAAAATGAAAATTTACATTATTTAAATGGGAGGATTCGCAACTTTAACTACCACGTATTATAAAAAAAACCTCGGTCATATTTTCAAAATTTGAATATAGCGGGCTCATTTATAGACAATTGCCTATCGATAACCACAAAAATCATGAAAATCAACCCATTAGAACGCTGGAACTAAACGTTACCAGATATGCAAATTTAGGAGGTCTCGGAGGTTATAGTATAAGAATGAGATTTTGATGAGACGCGTTTAAGTTTAAATAATATGAAATAAGATGACGCGATGGACCAGCCTCATGAAAAATGAAACTTAAGCGGATATCAAAAGAAAATGTGCACTTTAACAATACAATGTCCATAAAATATCGACCTTTGATTTCAGGGGGTTTTATTCGTAATACTTTCGACAATTGGACGTATTTAAATAAAAAGAAACTATATCGTTTCTGGCGTGAGCCCTAAGATTCATAAATATATTTGCATGATAGGGCTCGTGACACAATGAGTATAGTTTTTTTTTTTATTTATATACATCCAATTGACCCTATCTCCAGCTTTCTATTATCTTTCTTCAATTCTTTGACAGGACAGCATTAAAGTCCTGCCTGGGTTCTTATTAGAACATATCAATGGTAATGCTAAAAATAGGAAAACATTAAAAAAAAATCATGGCTATTCAAAATTTTAGTTCGATTCTACTCTTTAGAAAGGAAGACAAGCAATATCTCATACTTGGATATCTAAGAGAATTGCGTTGATAAGGAGGAATGAAATAAATTATTTGAAATGTTTGTGTCATGATATAACTCCAGATTTTCTCTTCAAAACACAATAATAACATTTTAAACAGACAACATTAACAACAATCCGCGAAGTTAGTGAGAAACAAATTCTTCTGAAAGCTTTCCTACATTTTGATACTTTGAATACACAAACGGACACATTCGACCTTTTTTTATTCGTTTTTTATTTATTAAAATCTCTTTCTTCTCATTGATTGTAGAGAGAGAAAATGTATCTATACTTTTGGCCGTCAAGAGCTACTACAAACTTTTTAAGAACTTTCGAGACCGTATCAGGGCTTTCTACTTTAACACAGGAGTCTCTGAGCCAGGTTCTTCGTATATCAATATGACTATTGGACGTATTTCTGTCGAACAGAGCTATGTGCATTATGACGTGAGCCCTGTTATGCATATATTCTTATGGACCTCAGGGCTCATGTCATAATGCACATCATTCCGTTTTACAGAAATACGTCCTTTTGAAACTTTTGCAGCTGTAGGCGCCTATATTGCACTCTTGGAACTTTCTTCTGGGATGACTCGAGCAATGGAGGTTCTTATGTTCCGGGTGGATAAAAATTAGAGATTACGTTCAGTTGTGAAACTAAATCCGTAGCAATACTAAAAGCCGCATACGACGTACAACTGGACGTTCATTATTCCAATCTCTCAATCGGATTCAAGATGTAAAAACACTCTGGATCCAGAACCTAGATCCCGTAACCAATGTACAATAAAAATGTTAATATCTTAACTACAGAAGTTGATTTCAGTAGTTTTCGTTGCGCGAACCATGTCCTGCGTGAAATTTTGTCGAAGAAT